TATAATTGCATATAGCATTTCTTTGGTTATATGTGCTTTGTTTTCTTTTCTATTTGATTAATTATGTTTTATGTCTTTTTTTGGGTTGTCGGTTTATAGTTAGGGGTTGGGGAATAGGACTTAGGGAGTAGGGATTTGGGATTAGAGCATAGGGAGTAGGAATTTGGAATTAGGAATTAGAAATTAGGGATTAAGACTTTAGGGATTAGGGATTAGAGATTAGGGATTAGGGATTAGGGATTAGGGGTTAAGGATTTGGGTTTATTGTTCTTTTCCTTCTTTCGCTCTACCTCCTCATCATTCTTATCCCTTTTTTTTGTTATTGTTTTAGTTTGGTTTTGAATTTTTTTTTTTATGTGCGTAACTAATCTAATATGTACTTTGATTTCAGTTGTTTGTGGAAAGGACGAGATAAGCGTGAAAGCGGACTTTAGAGCAAAAAGATAAGTATATCTATTTGTGCAAATCTAATTGGCTTTCTTTTACATGTGAAATGTGTTATACATATGACTATTTCTTCTTCTTGTATTTCTTACTTGTTATGATCGTTGTTTCTATTATTTTTAATTCCCAACACTCTCATTATTCCACTGTTTGCTTTTAATTTTTCGTTATTGTTTTATGTTTTACACAACCTGTAATTGCATAACATTTCTTTGGTTATTTGTGCTTTGCTTGCTTTTCTTTTTGATTAATTATGTTTTATTTCCTATTTTTGGGTTGTGGGTTTATAGTTAGGGGTTAGGGATTAGGACTTAGGGAGTTGAGATTTGGGATTAGGGATTAGGGCTTAAGGAGTAGGGATTTGGGATTAGGAATTAAAGATTAGGGATTAGGGGGCTTTAGAGATTAGAGATTAGGGGACTAGGGATTTGGGTTTATTGTTCTTTTGCTTCTTATACTCCACCTCCTCGTCATTCTTAACCTATTTTTTATTTTATTGTTTTTGTTACGTTTTGGATTTTCATTTTTATGTGCGTAACTAATCTAATGCGTACTTTGATTTCAGTTGTTAGTGGAATGGACGAGATAAGCTTGAAAGCGGAGTTTAGGAGCGAAAAGATAAGTATATATATTTGTGCAAATTTGATTGACTTTCTTTTACATTTGAAATGTGTTTTACACACAACTATGTCTACGGCTTCTTGTGTTTTTTACTTGTTATGATCATTGTTTCTATTATTTTCAATTCGCAACTCTCATTATTACACTGTTTGCTTTTTGTTTTTCATTATTGTTTTCATGTTTCACACCACCTATAATTGCATATAGCATTTCTTTGGTTATATGTGCTTTGTTTTGTTTTCTATTTGATTAATTATGTTTTATGTCTTTTTTTGGGTTGTCGGTTTATAGTTAGGGGTTGGGGAATAGGGCTTAGGGAGTAGGGATTTGGGATTTGGGTTGGGTTTATAGTTAGGGGTTGGGAATAGGACTTAGGGAGTAGGGATTTGGGATTAGAGCATAGGGAGTAGGAATTTGGAATTAGGAATTAGAAATTAGGGATTAAGACTTTAGGGATTAGGATTAGAGATTAGGGATTAGGGATTAGGGATTAGGGATTAGGGGTTAAGGATTTGGGTTTATTGTTCTTTTCCTTCTTTCGCTCTACCTCCTCATCATTCTTATCCCATTTTTTTTGTTATTGTTTTAGTTTGGTTTTGAATTTTTATTTTTATGTGCGTAACTAATCTAATATGTACTTTGATTTCAGTTGTTTGTGGAAGGACGAGATAAGCGTGAAAGCGGACTTTAGAGCAAAAAGATAAGTATATCTATTTGTGCAAATCTAATTGGCTTTCTTTTACATGTGAAATGTGTTATACATATGACTATTTCTTCTTCTTGTATTTCTTACTTGTTATGATCGTTGTTTCTATTATTTTTAATTCCCAACACTCTCATTATTCCACTGTTTGCTTTTAATTTTTCGTTATTGTTTTATGTTTTACACAACCTGTAATTGCATAACATTTCTTTGGTTATTTGTGCTTTGCTTGCTTTCCTTTTTGATTAATTATGTTTTATTTCCTATTTTTGGGTTGTGGGTTTATAGTTAGGGGTTAGGGATTAGGACTTAGGGAGTTGAGATTTGGGATTAGGGATTAGGGCTTAAGGAGTAGGGATTTGGGATTAGGAATTAAAGATTAGGGATTAGGGGGCTTTAGAGATTAGAGATTAGGGACTAGGGATTAGGGGTTAGGGATTTGGGTTTATTGTTCTTTTGCTTCTTATACTCCACCTCCTCGTCATTCTTAACCTATTTTTTATTTTATTGTTTTTGTTACGTTTTGGATTTTCATTTTTATGTGCGTAACTAATCTAATGCGTACTTTGATTTCAGTTGTTAGTGGAATGGACGAGATAAGCTTGAAAGCGGAGTTTAGGAGCGAAAAGATAAGTATATATATTTGTGCAAATTTGATTGACTTTCTTTTACATTTGAAATGTGTTTTACACACAACTATGTCTACGGCTTCTTGTGTTTTTTACTTGTTATGATCATTGTTTCTATTATTTTCAATTCGCAACTCTCATTATTACACTGTTTGCTTTTTGTTTTTCATTATTGTTTTCATGTTTCACACCACCTATAATTGCATATAGCATTTCTTTGGTTATATGTGCTTTGTTTTCTTTTCTATTTGATTAATTATGTTTTATGTCTTTTTTTGGGTTGTCGGTTTATAGTTAGGGGTTGGGGAATAGGACTTAGGGAGTAGGGATTTGGGATTAGAGCATAGGGAGTAGGAATTTGGAATTAGGAATTAGAAATTAGGGATTAAGAGTTTAGGGATTAGGGATTAGAGATTAGGGATTAGGGATTAGGGATTAGGGGTTAAGGATTTGGGTTTATTGTTCTTTTCCTTCTTTCGCTCTACCTCCTCATCATTCTTATCCCTTTTTTTTGTTATTGTTTTTGTTTGGTTTTGAATTTTTTTTTTTTTGTGCGTAACTAATCTAATATGTACTTTGATTTCAGTTGTTTGTGGAAAGGACGAGATAAGCGTGAAAGCGGACTTTAGAGCAAAAAGATAAGTATATCTATTTGTGCAAATCTAATTGGCTTTCTTTTACATGTGAAATGTGTTATACATATGACTATTTCTTCTTCTTGTATTTCTTACTTGTTATGATCGTTGTTTCTATTATTTTTAATTCCCAACACTCTCATTATTCCACTGTTTGCTTTTAATTTTTCGTTATTGTTTTATGTTTTACACAACCTGTAATTGCATAACATTTCTTTGGTTATTTGTGTTTTGCTTGCTTTTCTTTTTGATTAATTATGTTTTATTTCCTATTTTTGGGTTGTGGGTTTATAGTTAGGGGTTAGGGATTAGGACTTAGGGAGTTGAGATTTGGGATTAGGGATTAGGGCTTAAGGAGTAGGGATTTGGGATTAGGAATTAAAGATTAGGGATTAGGGGGCTTTAGAGATTAGAGATTAGGGACTAGGGATTTGGGTTTATTGTTCTTTTGCTTCTTATACTCCACCTCCTCGTCATTCTTAACCTATTTTTTATTTTATTGTTTTTGTTACGTTTTGGATTTTCATTTTTATGTGCGTAACTAATCTAATGCGTACTTTGATTTCAGTTGTTGGTGGAATGGACGAGATAAGCTTGAAAGCGGAGTTTAGGAGCGAAAAGATAAGTATATATATTTGTGCAAATTTGATTGACTTTCTTTTACATTTGAAATGTGTTTTACACACAACTATGTCTACGGCTTCTTGTGTTTTTTACTTGTTATGATCATTGTTTCTATTATTTTCAATTCGCAACTCTCATTATTACACTGTTTGCTTTTTGTTTTTCATTATTGTTTTCATGTTTCACACCACCTATAATTGCATATAGCATTTCTTTGGTTATATGTGCTTTGTTTTGTTTTCTATTTGATTAATTATGTTTTATGTCTTTTTTGGGTTGTCGGTTTATAGTTAGGGGTTGGGGAATAGGACTTAGGGAGTTGGGATTTGGGATTAGAGCATAGGGAGTAGGAATTTGGAATTAGGAATTAGAAATTAGGGATTAAGACTTTAGGGATTAGGGATTAGAGATTAGGGATTAGGGATTAGGGATTAGGGATTAGGGATTAGGGTTAAGGATTTGGGTTTATTGTTCTTTTCCTTCTTTCGCTCTACCTCCTCATCATTCTTATCCCTTTTTTTTGTTATTGTTTTTGTTTGGTTTTGAATTTTTTTTAATGTGCGTAACTAATCTAATATGTACTTTGATTTCAGTTGTTTGTGGGAAGGACGAGATAAGCGTGAAAGCGGACTTTAGAGCAAAAAGATAAGTATATCTATTTGTGCAAATCTAATTGGCTTTCTTTTACATGTGAAATGTGTTACGATGATTATGTCAAAGTTTGGCATAGACGAATCAGATTTTCTTGTTACGATGATTATGTCAAAGTTTGGCTCAAGTATACTACATACATTGAAGGTTTCTTATTTCGCTTCTTCAAGTGGTTTCCAGAATTTTAACCTGGAATTGAACCTCCATTTATTCCTGTTTGGGTGTCTCTGTAACCGAGAAAGCTTAAGAGATATATTAAGCCCCATTGGTAGGATATTGGTGATTGATAATGCCATTTTAAATCTCCCTAGACCTGGGGTTGCTAGGGCCTGTGTAGAGATGAATCTACTGGCCAGTAACCCAAAGAGATTCTGGCTGGATATGGGGGGTGTGAGTGCTAGGTGGCAGAGGATAATGTATGAAAAGGAATTTAAATATTGCCATGTTTGTGGGGAATAGCTTTGAAATCTTGAATGAAATAAATAATGCTGTTGAGGTGAATATTGGTACGGAGAAGGAACAACAGGCTCAGCAGGATCCAGAGGTGGGAAACAGCTTTAATGCCTTAAATGGGCAGCAGATGGAGGATGTTATGAGAAAAAATTAGCAGGGGGAATGTTCTCCAATGAATCTAGAAAATGATGAGCAGCAAATTTTGGGACTGCAGAATGATGGCATGGGGTTTGTAAAAAGGTTCAGGGGACTCTGGCTGAATCAGTTATTGCCGAAAATAATAGAGAAAAAGATAATATGGAGACCTGCTCAATGGCTCAGATCCAATTGAGTTCCCCTAAATGATGTTGGAAACTGTTCAGAGGTACTCTCCTCTTCGGGCGGGAACTGTGTGGAGAGGGGTGCTGCCAGTGTAGAGAAGGATGTTGAGGATATGGAGAATGGGAATCAGAATCATGAGGTGCAGAGGGAAGATGCTTTGTCTTCTACTTCTATTCCTGTTCTGGATGCCTCTGGCGGGGACATGTTGCTGAATGAGTTAGAAGTTGATAGAGAAAAGGAGAATGAAAATTCTGTTGATGTGGAGGCCGAGAATAGCGTTGGTTCTGGAAATGGGGTGTTTTTAAAGACCATTTGCCAGAATGTGTGGTTCATTGTGCTCCTTCAATGGGATCATCCTTTTTGGTTGACCGTGACTTTATGAATAGGGAGGGGTATGTTGGATCGGTTGATGATCAATATGGTCTTATAAGCAAGAAGATACCCCCAGATAAGGGGTATGCATCTGATCAAGATAGCTCTCAGAGCCCAGTAGGTGATGCGGTGGACACAGATAGCTCATTCAGAGTGTCAAATGAAGGTTCTAGATGTAATTCTAGTGGGAATTTTGCTTCTGTTCATTTATGATTAATCTGATTTCATGGAACATGAGGGGAGCAGGGAAAGGATGCAAAAGTAGGAGATTAAAGAAAATTATCAAGATGAATAATGTATGTTGTGTGGCAGTTCAGGAACCAAAAATATCAGTGTCAAAGCTGCAAAATTTTGCTGGTAAAATAGGGTTGAATCATTTCTGGTTTAACAAATGTGCAGAAAGGAATATTTGGTTGCTCTGGGATGATAGAGTTAAATCAAGGAGTTGTACTCTCATCAGCTGTGGTGCTGACTATGGAATTTATGTTTTTGGACTGAAAAATTTTGGATGTCTGTAGTATATGCAAGTTGTGACCGTGTTAGGAGAAGGTTATTATGGCAACATTTGTTGGGTATTGAGATACCTGCAAGTGATCCTTGGATCATTGCAGGTGATTTCAATTCCATTTTGACTTCGGAAGAAAGAAGAGGAGGGGCCTTTCCTTCTATTACAGCTGTGGAGGAGTTTGACCAATTTCTTGATCAAGGAGGGTAGTTGGATTCTGGTTTTTCTGGTAGTAGGTTCACATGGTGTGATAATCGCCAGGGGCACGTCAGGATGCTAAAGAGGTTGGATAGGGTTTTGGTGAATGTTGCTTGGCCTCTGAGATTTGAGAATACTGAGGTTGTCCATCTTGCTAGGGGTAATTCAGATCATTGCCCCTTGCTTGTTAAGATTTTGGATGAACCTATTCAGAGAAGTATATCTTATTTTCGTTTTCAGGATACCTAAATTTGGTTGCTACAAATTGGAGGGGGCATTTTTTTGAGAATCCTGTCGCTAACTTGTTCATTAAGCTCAAGTACGTAAAAGCCCATCTCAAATTGTGGAACAAAGAAGCCTTTGGGAATGTATTTAATAATATAAAAGTTCATGAAAGAAGGATTCAGGAGGAGGAGTCTAAATTGGATCAGAATTATTGTTCGGAGGGTGCATTAGTATTAGAGAGGTGGAAGGAAGGATTGGATAATTTGCTTAGAATGGAGGAGATTTTCTGGAAGCAAAAAGCGAATATTAGATGGGCCGTTGAAGGAGAAAGAAATACAGCTTTTTATCATGCTATGGCAAAGAGTAAAGTTGTAAGAAATAAAGTTAAAAGAATTCAAAATGATGAAAGTGTTTGGGTTCATGGGGAAGATGAGATTGCTGACGTTGCTATAAAATTCTATTCTAAGTTGTATATGTCAGAGAATCATTCTATTCAGGAAGAGATATTTTCTGAAATCCCTTCACTGGTTGGTGATCAAGAGAATGAGAGGTTGGTGGAAGCTGCTTCTATGGAGGGAGTCAGAGAGGCTGTTTTCTCTATGGCTGTGGAAGGTGCTCCAGGACCTGATGGGCTTTCGGGTAAGTTTTTTCAATCATCCTGAGAGATTATCAAAGATGATGTATTGCTTGCTGTGAATTTTGTTTTGGGAGGTGGTGTAATTCCAAAATCTGTTAACTCTACTTTTCTTGTTCTAATTCTAAAGAAGGACAACCCTGTTAACTTTGGGGATTTTCGGCCCATTAGCCTCTGCAATTTTGTTTATAAAATTTTTACAAAGCTCCTCACTACAAGACTTTCTTCTTTACTTCCTGTGTTGGTGTCTGAAGAGCAACATGGTTTTGTAAAAGGAAGGTGCATTGGGAATTGTGTGTCATTGGGGTAGCTAATGGCGGAGGAGTTGGATAGAAAGGTGGTGGGAGGCAATATGGTAGTTAAATTAGATATGATGAAGGCGTATGACCGGATCGAATGAGACTTTTTGTTGAGGGTGTTGGAAAAGTTTGGTTTTTCAGGAATGTTTGTTAGAATTTTCTCTAACTGTCTGAAAACCCAATTTTTTACATTGTGTTTAAATGGAAAAAGGCATGGTTATTTTGCTAATTCAAGGGGGCTTAGACAAGGAGATCCTTTATTCACTTCCTTATTTATTCTTGCTGAAGAGGCTTTGAGTAGAGGGTTGAGAAGACTTTATCAGATGAATTTGGTCACCCATTTTCACACAGGCAGAGGTTCTCTTTTGGTGAGTCACCTTTTTGCTGATGATACCTTAATATTCTTGAGAGGTAAGAAGAAATCTATGATGAACTTGATGAAGTTTATAAGTTTGTATGAATCTTGTTCTGGACAGAAAGTAAATAAATCAAAAAGTGCTTTGTATTGTTCAGCAAAAATCCCCATTGTTAGACGGAATGTGCTGTCCAATTTGGTGGGAATTCCTTTGAAGACCTGCCCCTTTTCTTATCTTGGCTTCCCCATTATTAGGGGAAGATCTAGGAATTGTTTCTTTGCGGAGGTGATCAACAGTTTTAGAAGGATAATTGAAGGATGGTATGCCAAACTTCTATCTGGGATGGGTAGACTTGTGATGGTGCAGTCTGTGTTGAATGCTATTCCCATTCACATTTTGACTTGTATGAATATACCCAAAGGCGTGATGAGGAAGTTGAATTCATTAATTGCTGGGTTCATATGGTGCTGTAAATTGGACTCTAAAAGGAGACATTGGGTCTCTTTGGATAAGATGTCCAAACCAAAGGAGGAGGGTGGGTTGAGAATTCGAAGCTTTGAGGAGATTCAAGCAGCTTTCAGAGTTAAACAGGTCTGGAATATCCTAAATGGTAATTCACTTTGGGCGAAGATGTTCAGATCTACATTCTTAAGGGGAGGCACTTGTTAAGATGTGGGGAATCGAGGGGTGCAAAATCTTTTAAAAGTTTGAAGCCTTGGTTTAATTTTGTGGTTGAAAATTCCTGGGTCAGTATAGGGAATGGTAGAAACACTGATTTTTGGTGTGATGCATGGCTTGAGTCTGGGCCCTTATTGCAAAGTGCTGTGGGGATTCCCACTGATTTTCCTTCTGTAGCTGATATGTGGGGGAATAACCAATGGCAGCTGGATGATGTTATTTCTATCCTTGGGGAGCAATTGAAGTCTGAGATTATATCAGCTGGAGTGGTGATCTGTGAGCAAGGGGATAGAAGGGTTTGGAGGAGTAGCAGTACTGGTCTTTTCTCTGTTAAAGATGCATGGTGGCAGGTCAGGCAGCAGGGTGAGCAGAATGTGGCAGCTAAATGTATCTGGAGTCAAAGAATTTTTCCAAGTGCACAGCTATGTTCTTGGAAAATCCTTAGGGGTGCTTTATCCATTGCTTCAAGAATCCGTGACTTGGGTATTGATTTGGTAAGCAGGTGCAGTCTCTGTGGCGAAGAAGAGGAAACTGTTTCTCATTTGTTTATTGAGTGTAGTTTTGCAAAATCAATATGGAGAAGGTTTGCAAGTATGATGGGTTTTGGTTTGATTGAGGGGGAGTCTTCTATTACTAGGTTCTTGAGGCTTAGCAGAATTTTTAAATGTTGTTCGCTGAGTCACGCTCTAGTTAGAGGAGTTCCACTTCTTTTATACTGGGCTCTTTGGAAAGAAAGGCGCAGGAGACTGTTTGAGGAAGAGAATTAAATTCCTATGCTGTGTTTTTACAAATTATGAGTGCTTTGGGTTTTCAGGCTTTTATTATTAAGCCTAAGAAGGGTGATGATAGTAATGGTAAAGTGTTACTTGCTGATTTGAAGATTAATGCTGCCCATGTTGTTATCACAAAGGCTTTATGGATTAAGTGGGAACCCCCTCCAGATGGGACCTTGAAGCTTGCAGCAAAGGGGCCAACTGGTTTGTCAGGTGGAGGCATGGTGGTCAGGAATTCGAATGGTCTGATTGTTGTCGCTGCTGCCTCCTTTTATGACAGGGGTTCGAATATGCTGGCCGAGTGTAAGGCACTTTTGGAGGGTATTAAGTTGTTTTTGCGTCATGATTTAATGAATTATCAACTTCTTATTGAATCGGATTCACAGGTGCTTGTTGGAATGGTATTGGGGAAGGTCAAGGTTCCTTGGAAATATAAACAGTTTATTGATGATATTTGTGGAATTTTGCATAGATTTAATATCAAGGTTAGTCACATTTTCAGGGAAGCTAACGGTCTTGCAGATTTTCTGGCTTCTTATGCTGTCAACGAAGCCTGCTGTTTTGAATTTTTGGGTACTGATTCGCTGCCTATAGCTGGGAAGATGAGGTTGCATCACGATCAACTTTCTTTGTCTACATTGAGACGAAAAATGATCTTGGTTGATAGCACTTGCAGGCAGCTTGATACTGTTGACGTGCGCTTGAATGGGAGACAGGAGCAGTTGCCTGTTCTGCACACTGGGTGTGCTCTGATAAATGATGATCATGGTTAATAGCTGTTGGTTGGGCTGGTTCTGGGGTCCTTTTGCTTTGGGCTGGTTCATGTTGCTGGGGGTCTCCTGCGCCCTGCTGGTTTTGGGCTGTTCACGTGCACTGTTCATGTGCACAGCTTGTTTAATGCAGCTGCTGGCCCTCACTCTTCGGTTATCTTCTATCTTCAGCTGGGTTTTGATGGCCTTTTACCTGGTTTTTCAGCTGTTCTCCGTCAGTAACTCTTGGTTTGTTCAGTCTTGCATACGCATATCATTTTTTTCATGATGTGATTTAATCCAAGTTTTGGACATCAGCGTCAAAAGCAAGCTGATCAACGATTTTCTATGACCCCTTACATAAAACCTAGTGTCACTCCTACGGGAACTCCAAAAATAATTTCCACGAGCGTGTCCCCCAGAAGGTATTCGGCTGCTGGATCTCCTCAGAAAAGTTCTGCTACCACTTCTCCAAGAAAAAATCAATATGAAGGACGGGGTACACTGTCTTCATGGTACCCGTCAAGTTCAGTAGTCATCAGCCGCAAACTCTCCTCCAATTGGACGCCCAATGCCAGGTTTGGAAAGCCTATTGCAATTTCCAATTCGACTTCTGGCTGTTAGATGATAAACATAAGTGTTGTTTCTTTTGCAATCTTCTAATAATACTTGTCCATGTTCCTTCCTGTTGCAAAAAAGCAATTTTTTTCCTACTAGTGCAACTCCTTATGATTGATGCACTATATTGAATACTAGTGCTTGAATTAAATTTCTTATATAGATTATGGCTTGATTAATTTGTTTTCTTCATTCTTCAAAATTGTAAGCTTGTACTCCTAGAATTGATGGAAAGGAGTTCTTCCGCCAAGCCAGGTGGGCTCTATATTTCCAACTATTAGACTGTGACCACCTTTTCTAGAGGTACCTTTTACTTGACAGTTTCGGTATGATTATTTAATCCAGGAGTCGTCTATCGTATGAGCAGTTCAGTGCATTTCTAGCTAACATAAATGAGTTAAATGCTCAAAAACAATCTCGTGAGGTGATCAACATAAAAATTGATTTTAACAAATCAAAATCTATGTTACATTTTCTTTTGATGCAGTCGAATCTGTTGTGATCTGCTTGTTGACTAAATTGAACATAATTCACAATTTTTGCTTTAAGGAAACTTTGCATAAAGCAGAAGATATTTTTGGGATGGATAACAAAAAACTGTACTCATCATTCAAGGGATTGCTTAATCGCAACATAAATTAAGGGTAGTGTTGCTGGAAATGGTGTGCATTAATAGGTTTGTCTATCCGTCTGCCATCAGTTGTCCTCAAATTTTGAGCTTGTTTTGTTTTGTCTTTTCCTTGTTTCTTTATCTTTTACATAGTATATTGTGGCAAATTACGACAGCCTTTTAAAAACAGTACCATTCTAAGTCAAACTCAAATCTGGTCGCTTTGGGTGGATTGCCCCTAACTGGTTTTCTGACACTGGAACATTTGTCGAAATCATCAATGTATGTGGATTTGAAGAGATCGCGCCAAAGCAGACTGGAACATAGTGTTTCTAGGCTTAGTTGTGCCATATTTCATGCAGGTATGCTTTGTAAATAGTTGCAATTGTTTTCCAGATCATCTGATATACTTTTTTGGAAGTGTTGATTAGCATTAGTGAGGTACTGAATTTAACGTAAAAGTGAATTTTCTTGAATGCATCTGACAAATCTCTCTCTCTCTCTCTCTCTCCTTGATCCTTATCGGTTAACCTCAATATTTAGGACATCCATACAAGTCAACGGTGCTTATTAATTATTTAACTTGTTATGATTGCCAAACCTTCCACATGGCATGGCCACCATGTTTACTTTTATGTTTGTTTTTAATGGTATGTTACTTTTTAAAAGATCTAATGATCATATTTAATTTTTTTTAAATTTGAGTTTATTCATTAGTGTGTTTTATATCAAATAAAGTTTTTTTACTCAAATAATAACTTAAATTTAAGTAAAAATTTGATTTAAGATTGGACATAGACTAAGAAATTAAATTTGTTGTTGGTTCTATAGTTAAAGGTGTCTATGCTACTATACGCACACCTCAATTAATTTTTTTTCTGCTTCAGTTAAAGATAAATCATTTATATCAGAATTAAAATATTCATAAAACTTTCTTGACAAAACTTCAAAAAAATTTAAAATTTGTAGTCAAAATTCCTAACTTTACACATTTTACTTTCATAAGACGAAGACAAAAACTGAAAAGAAAGAAAATGGTCACCTAGGGATTAAACTTTAGAGGACCAAAATATATTATGCTACGACAGGACAGCCGACACTCATAATCCACTTCGGTTCTATATAAAATACTGCCAAATCAAACCCTTTTCTTCTTCTCCTTCTTCTTCTTCTTCTTCTTCTTGGCTCATTGATCGATAAATCGAATTCCAGAGCCTATAATTGACAATCTGGTTGATGGGTCATATGGAGCTCGTGTTTAAACTTATTTGTTGAGATTAAATGCTCACCAAACCCACTTTAGACTTTGGGTACCAGTTGTCGGCGGAAAGAGAGAGCAAGAACTCGACCAGCTCTGAACCAGAAGTTTTGAGTCTCTAATTTAGAATCTCATTCTACGTTTAAATTGGATTGGGTTTTAGTATGGTCATTTGAGTGGAATTGTGGTTTATTGGCACAATTTGACTTGGTGCTTGATCATGGCTAGGCGTCATGGTTGGGAACTCCCAGCTCACACGTTTCAGGTAAATTCTTTTAGGTCTCCTTTTCCTTGTAATCACTTGAAATTCGAAATGTGGGTTATATTTGAGGCCTTTTGACTTTTAAAGGTAGTTTTTTTTTTTTTGAAGATTATCCATGTGATATTGTAAACTAGTGTTACTTTATTTTACTTTTCTGTCAAAAAATATGTATCTATTTGTAGTTTGATCTTTTGACTGCATCCTATTCATTGGGTTACCTGGGTTTTAGAGGAATGCATATCTTTCTTTAACCTCATTATGTTATTTTTTTAATTTAATTTCCAATGGAATTATAAGAATATCAAAACCCATCCCAAAGAGATCATATTATTACAGAAAGCA